CCAGTGACATGTTTTGTGATCTTTATTTACGGCCAAAGTTTACCAATCGAATTTTTAGTCACGCCACAAAGCTTTACGACTGACTATTGCAGTGAACCATCCTTTATATTAAATGTTTCTAAGCAGGCAGAAGGAAGACCATTTTCTGAGTTTTATTACCTCTTGAAGCCCATTAACGACATCCTTTTGGAAAACACAAGTATCTGATACCCATTCAGATTACTGAATTTACCGACTTTTATGAACTTGAATACCCATACAAGTTATAGCACACTACATTTTGTTAGTCTGGGTAAGAGAACTTCAAAGCAGATAATTTTTATGTACAATTACTTGAACAAATTTAAAATAATGAAAATATTGGTTCTAAATTGACGGTATATTACTTTGGTTCACTGGTTGTCAGCCTTATGGATAATTTTTTAATTGCATCTAAAGTAATCTAAGTTGGTCTTTAATATTATAGAACAGTATACGTCTCATTCATAAACGTCATTATTCGGTAATTAATTTTTTGATTAGCTGGTGGATGAATTTTTCTACTAAAGCACGATCAAATCCAGTAGATCAAATTACTCTAATCAAGAACAAGTACACAGCATCTCACGAATCTAATGAAATAAATTTCATTACATGTGTCATGGAAAGTGAATCATTCGCCATGTACCATGTTTAATTGTTGGTTTACGGACACTACAATCAGGTGAGTAGTCTCTAACAGAGACATTTAGAAGTACATGGTAAGACATCAGGAACAAATTTCCATCCTTAAAATTGATCGTAGACATCTTGTAAACCTTTGATGACCTGTTTGTACTAACGATGCATACTTTTCGAGCCAACGTTGCTGGTCAAATTATTCCTTACCCATGTAAAAATTACCAGTATAGTATCAAAATGGTATAAGAATAGACCCAATACCAATCAGAAACAATTTTCGATAGGAAAAGCTTTCCCTGTTTAATGGCTAAAAGAACTTTGTTTACTCCTCATATATAAGATTCAGCTACCTGCACAAGTTTTCTTGCTGCCAAAAGTCGTTTGGTTAACAGACATGTATAATGCCGAATTAAAATTGCTAACTTCTTCTTTTTGGCTTGAACTTTGAAATATTCTCCAGTATTCCTCAAAAATCAACTGCTTCAGTTGTGTGCAGAACGACGTAGTTACTTGTTATGCATGAATTACTGGAACTACTGTCACTTATAAGTCTCATTAGGATGTTGACCAATGGATTACCAGCTAATTTTTCTACAGCATGGAATATAGTAAATCCCTTAAGTAACTCTCAGCCCCCACTATTTCATCTTATTTACTCCAGCTTGCATTATTATTTGTCGCACGAAGATTTACGTACATTTGCAGATACTGTGTTGTATTGTATTTGACTGGCTTCATTCGTCAGTCACCGGCTGTTAATATACTAGTTAGCATCATTACTTGGATTGCATCGCCATCTTTCCATAAAATAGTTTTATGGCAGTACATGATGACTCCCCGACCTCGTCTAGTTTACTAGTTCACTAGTTACTATCCGGTCCTAAGGCCGGATAGAAGGAAGGTTGGGCATAGGGCTAGCAACCCTACCCCGGAAAACCAGTCCAACCGCTACAGAAACTACAAATCACGAAAAATATAAAAAATAAAAATAAACTCATTCCATGCTGCATTCAGGGAGACGAAATGACACTGGTTGGTGAAAGCCTTCGGGAAGCCAATTGGCCGATGTGTCTCCTTCCTCTCGATGTAAGCGAAAGTAAACATGGGGACATGGAATGTCCGCACTATGATTGAAGCTGGCGAGGCTACCTTGATTGCAAAAGAGATGAGAAGGTATAGCATGGAAGTGCTAGGAATCTGCGAGGAATCTGCAGATGGAATGGAAGTGGACTCTCCAAGCTGTCAACTGGAGAGCCAATAATCCACTCCGATATTGTCACCCAGACGACAGTCACAAGTACATTGAGTTTTGGTTTGGCTATCAGGGTGTCCCCAAGACCAGGCTCTCATGCAGCGGGAACCAGTCTCCTCCTGCAGGATCGTAACATCAAGGTTCAACTAGAAAGGAAGGAAAGTTACAATCATACAATGCTACGCTCTGCACCTACAAATAATGTAGATCAAGAGAAGTAGGAGGAATTCTGTAGACAACTGCAATCAGTAATGGACAAGACCCTACGCCAGATGATGGCATCAAAATTCTAATGTCTAGGGTGACAGGAACGCTAAACTGGGAGCGGACAACATAGGAAGGGAAACGATCATTCGTCGAGAGGCACTCGGTGGAATGATGAGTGAGAATGCAGAACTGTTTGCAGACTTCTGCACATTTAATGATTTGGTGATTGGAGGCAATGTGGAAGAGACGTGGGAGGAAACCTGTATAACCGCGTTAGGAAGTAAGAAGAAACAAGACAAGGAGTGGATCTCCACGAACACATAGAAGCTGATAAAGCAGGGAGAGGAAGATGGTGAAGCAGAGGATGAACCAGTGCAGTGTAGTGCAGTCCAATGCAGTGCAGGGATGAAGAACAAAAAGAGGAACCGAATACAACCTAAAAAACACTGGACAAAGAAGTGAAGAAGAGTGAGTGCAAAGACAAAAGACACTTCTACGATACACTGGCAAATAAACAGAACAGGCTGCTAGTAGGAGAGACCTGGCAACATTATATCAAATAACCAAAATACTATCTGGGAAGACATCAACACAGATGAAACAAATGAAAGATAGTAGGGGAAACCTATTTGCCAAAGAGAAGAAACAAAAACCGATGGACTGACCACTTCAAAAAACTCTCGAATCGACCACCACCATCATCATCATCATCACCTGCAACTCGTCCAGAAATGTCACTGGGAGTCACGGGACTATCAGTGGACACAAGCCCTCCAACAAAAGCCAAAGTCGTGAACACCATCAAGTCACTGAGAACCGAGAAAGCAACAAAACCAGATGTAACTCTGCCAGAAGCACTGAGTTAGACGCAGAGGCATCAGCAGACATGCTCACACCACTATCTTAGAAGGTTTGGAATGAAGAAAGGAAAGGTACCTCTCAATTGGAAGAAGGACTACCTTGTCAAACTTCCAAAGAAGGGCAACCTAAGCCTTTGCAAGAACTGGCGTGGAGTCATGCCCAACCTCTATCCACCCCAAGCAAAATATTGTGCTGCATCATCCTGGAGAGACTGAAGGATGCTCTGGATTCAAAATTACGACCTGAACAGGCTAGCTTCATGAAGAACAAATCATGTGCTGATCAAATTGCAACGCTACGCTACGCATCATCACAGAACAGAGCATGAAGTAGCAGTCAACTCTACATCAACTTCATCGACCTCGAAAAGGCCTTCGACAGCATCGACCGAGAAGTAATTTGGCAGTTGGTTCAACACTAAGGTTTTAGTGACAAAATCCCTTATCAACCTCATTCAAGAGCTATATGACGACGCTACATGCCAAGTGATTCACAATGGAAAGCTCAGTGATGCCTTTGTAGTGAAGACAGGAGTAAGACAAGGTTGCCTACTATCACCGATCATCTTCTTGATTGTGGTGGACTGGATCATGCAGCAAACCGTGAGAAAAGAGAAGATGGGCATACGCTGTTTGACGTATGAAAAGACCCTAGAAGATTTGGATCTCGCCATTGATGATTTAAGTCTAATGTCGCACCCACTCGAAAATCTACAGGCGAAGACTAACAAGCTGGCAGAAGAGGCAGGTCAGCGAAGACGGGATTTCCTTCAGGGGAACGTAGAGGAGACGGAGTCGATGGAGTTACCCAACCAACAACAACAACAATCACCAATCACCATCAAGGGAAGAAACCTAAAGGAAGTAGTTTCTTTCACCTGCATAGACAGGGCAGCATTGTTCCAACTACAGGTGGCACAGTTGAGGACATCAAGGCCAGGGTCGGAAATACAGCAAGACAGGCGTTCATTAATTTGAAACCAGTGTGCAGGTCTACTACAATCAGCATAAAGCATGAACGAGATCCGGATTGTCAACACCAGTGTCAAGTCAGTGCTGCTATATAGTTCAGAAACGTGGCGTGTCAAGAGTAGCATTTCCAGCAAACTACAGACATTCATCAACAGCTGCCGCCTACGCAGGCTGGATGGCCAGAAGGAATAAGCAACAAGGAACTCTGGCTGGCAACGAGCCAAGGAAGCAAGAACCCGTCGCCAACAAATATGCAGAAGAAAGTGGAGATGGGTTGGTTATACCCTGAGAAGGCGGACTGGGGGCATCACGCACCAAGACCTTAAGTGAAATTCAAGGGGGAAACGAGGGGTTGGGCGTCTGAGGGTGGCATTGAGGAAATGGTGTGATGAAGAAATGAAAGCTTGTGGGCAGTCGTGGGTCCAGGTTGAAAAGACTGATGAGAAGAGAGCGAAGTGGCGACGTGCTACTGAAGCCCTATGTTCCAGTAGGAACCCAATGGACAAATAATAATAATAATTCCCCATCGGTTGCTAGCAGTGCTGCTTAATATATTCCATGAGTATTCTCAAACTAGTTTCCCATTTATGAACCAGCTAAAACCCATTTTTGGTCCCCTGAGATGAAGTCCATTTCAGTTGCCAAAATGTTTGTATTTTTCAATCAGGAGTCAGCTATAATCACTATTTTAATTTTGTTTGACGAATAACAATATCAGACTTTCGTCTCCTCAACAGTGACTAGTAAAGCAATCCAGAAAAGAAATAAAGATCAAAGGTTTACGAAAATGACCCAACATCTGCTAGATGATACCTTATATTCTCCATCACAGCGTAGATTTATCTAGCCAATTGAGGTTATTTTGTTTCTATTTAGCTGTTTAAAGTGTTTACTTAAAAGCGTTATTAATAAAAATGTTACCGATATCTTCGAAAATGAATTCTGTAGAGTAATTGATTAATTCATAAAAAAATTTACCATTAAAATTTTTGAATACTTTGGCCTTAAGGTAGGCTTAAAAACTAAGCAGATTCAAGCAGTGAACTTACGATATGGTTTCTGGCAAGCTACACATTTTCCATTTATAATATCATTCAGAGGATAAGGCAGGTGATAATATTTGTCTCCATGCATAAAGAAATCAGAACCTGACTGCTTCAAGTGCTCAGCACATTTTGACACATATTCTGGAAGCTTAGTTGTCCAAAGGTCATGTACAACAAAGCAACCTTCTTTTAAGCGGGCAACCCAAGCTTGCTTTTTATCTGCAAATCTAGTTACTCTGAACCTTGACTGAGGCGACAGACCTTTAATATCATCTTCCGTTAGTTCCACTGAACACTGTGTCACCCCGTCATTCCTCAATTTCTTCACAGTAGGCTTGGGTGAAATTTTAAAAGAACGTCTTTTGAGTTCTGCTTCACTTTTTGCATACTTTAATCGCTTTCTAGACGACTTCTTCGACGCAGAATCATTCGATGCTTTTGCACCGGGACTTGGGTGTCCCAGATTGGGCGAAGAACGAATCTTCTTGAAGCCGGGTTTGGAATCTGCTGAAGCTTTTTTCCCCTCTTTTATCTTTTCATGCCGAACACTCAGCAACACAAATCCAGGTCTCGTATGACCTCGTATACTCTCAACTATATCTTTTCCTGAATCAGAAGAGAATTCAAATGAACCTTTTTGTACGCATTGATGTATATCCTTCATAGTCAATGTCTGAGCAGCTGGGGCAGTCGTGCACGTATCGAGAATCGACTGATTCGCTGATGATGTGTCTTCTGGTGATGTATCATGCTGAACTGTAAACGGGTACAAAACAAGTGGTTGACTGGGACATTCCATAGTAACTGGGCTTCCTTGGCCACTGGAGTTGTTATCGTCTCTAGGTGTTATGTGCAGGGAAAGAGCACTTTCTCCTTCGAACTTAGCCTCAACAGGTACTAGAAATGTTGACATATCCGAGTGTTCATTGTTTACAGCCCAGTTTTGGCCAAAATGATCATCTAATTCTTGACTTTCGATAATACATGGAAGACTTTCTGGGTTTTGAGGGTGAAAATTTGATTCACTTTGAAGTGCAAAAGGGACTTTTAGAGAATTATAGTACTCGGTAAGCTGTAGCTCAATCAATTTCTGAAGTAGTAAGAGTTGCAACTGCCTTTGAGCATTATGGTCTGTATCACCAAGACTTTCACTCAAAAGGTGATCTGGCATGTCGTAAGAAGAATTCTCTGGTGGAATCTGAGCACTTGGAATATTTGTCAGATCTCCAGTCGCATCATCTGGGCCCGTTACTGAATTCGGAAAAATAAATCCATGGCAGATAGGCTGACTGTAGCTCTGAGCACAATCACTCGGCTTCTCATTAGAAACACATGTCGGTTGCAGTGACAGAGGTATGTTTGTGGGATTTAAAGGCATATATATCACTTCGTTGGTGGGGTTCAGAAAATGTGGTGAGCATTCCAGTGGATAAGCGTTGAAAGCAGCATGTTGAGAGGAATAGGAAAACTGTTCTCCTTCAGGATTAAAATTTTGCCTAAGAGTGTTCAAACTGCTAGAAGATGAGCTGTGTGAAGAAGTCATCACTGAACGACTCGCGACATGTAATGACCTCTCTTGAATTCGTTGCACAATAAATGCAGTCAACTTCAAAGTGAAAAAACAATTACTAAGGTCCGATACAGTTTTTTGATTTTTCGTAATCCAGTCGATTTTATCATGAGCTTCGTGGATTTTGGCTGAGTTTATATGCGTCGGATGCAGTCACATGCCTAGTGAAGCTCTGGTAAGCCTCTTGGGTGCCGGTTAAACCCAACACCCAAAACTGTACACATTTTTTGACAAATAAATGGCTTATTCTTCAAACTTCAAATTTCAAACTTCGTGTTGTAGAATTAGCGAACTGCGGTTCCTCGGATGCTACGTCTGTCTTATTGGAATACGTTCTGAGTTTGGAATGGTCACAATTATCTCCCTGGTTCTGAAAAACCTGAAAGGATGGAGATACGATTAATGGATTGATCTGGTCTCAAGGTAGCATTACCGCATCTGATCTGGGGAAAGCTTCTCGAGTACGGCCCATTGGCACGGTAGGACTCAAGGTGTGCGTCTAGCCTCCTTTTAAAGGTATCAGGGGATGGGGCTGTAACAACTGCTGAAGGGAGGGAATTCCACACTTTACAGACTAACTGCAAATGAGTTAGCATGGGTCTTTGTGCGTGCTCTCTCATGCTCTATTCTTAACGGGTAACCCCTCAAGTCGCGTTTCCGACTAAAGCTTAGAAGGGATCTGTTGGGATGGAGGGGATTATGGGCGATGTGGTACATCATGATCGTATCCCCTCTGATCCTCCGGTGTTGTACTGGGTGCAGCTGAAGAGCAACTAAGCGGTCTGGGTGCGGTTTGTGCCGTAACCCAACCACTTTCTTAGTAGCTCTTCTCTGTCCCCGTTCTAGGATGGCAATGTCCTTATTCAAGCATGGGGACATCACAAGCGAAATTTTTTCTAAATGAGGACGAATGTACAGAGCATACACTGTGGTGAAAAGAGAAGGAGTTAGACACCCTAAGGTCCACGAGGGAAACCCAAGGATTCCATAAGCCCTATTGGCTGAAAGGTGACAGTGGACAGAGGCTTCTAGTGTTTCATTCAGTGTAACTCCCAGATCTTGTCCCATGTTGGAGTGACAGATATTTATTTCACCTAGAGAGTAAGAACTGGGACCGCCTTTATGTTTGTCAACTATCATAATTCGACACTTCTTCTAGTTGAGAGGAAGCAGGTTTTCTGTAGTCCAATCAAGGATTTTCGTAAGGTCCTCCTGGAAGGCCGTCGGCACGTAATAGTGAATGTGAATTAAGGACCCCTGGTAGGCCATTGATAAAAGCAAGAAACAGTAGTGGGCCCAGTATGGAACCTTGAGGCACACCACTCAGCATCGAGAACCGACTAGATAGAAAGGAGCCGACTCTGACTGCACCCTGGTGTACAGATAATCTGTAAGCCAGATTAATAATTTTCCTTGTACACCCATGAGCTGGAGTTTCTTGCAAAGGATATCATGATATACCCTGTCAAAGGCCCTAGAAAAGTCATGCAAACCAATGTGTATAGGCTTTTTCTTCTCGACAGAGAGTGCCGAGCTATTCCAAGCTATCAACAAGTTGGTGTTACATGACCTTCCTGGTAGAAAGCCATGATGACAGTCGTTTAGGATTGATTTCTGAAGTTAGTGATCGTGAAGCGAGTCATTTATGACTCTCTTCATGACCTTCGCAACTGAAGAGATGAGGGAGATCGGTTTGTAGTTGGAGGCGAGTAGTTTGTTTCCACCTTTATAAAATGGGACGACAGCCACCCGTTTCTAATCAGAGGGTAACCTGCCTTCCAGAAGCGAGCGTATGAAGAGGTTTGCTAGTGGGGCGCGTAGAACTTCAGCACGCTCTTTGAGTGCTCTTGGGTGAATCTCATCGATTCCTGGAAACTTAATCGGGTTCAGACTCTTTAATATTTCCATAATTACAAAGGGTTTAAACTCTATATGATTTAATCCCTTTGTGACACGGGTGTCCGACAGAGGCGAGGCTTGCCTCCCAAATGACAGTTGTTTTGGAACTCATGAGCCAGCGGGTTTGCAACTTCGGAGTTGGAATAGAGAATCTCCAAACTAATGGGGTCCTGTAAACTTAGTGGACTGTTACTCTTCTGTTTCATCAACGAGTACAGTATCCCATGATTCCCCTCCAGTGTTCTACAAAGTTGTGTCCGGTGGTTTATTCAGTCATTTCTGATCCTTACTAAACATTTGTTACGGATGTCTCTATAACTTAGCCAGTCAAAAGGGCTATTAGTGCACCTCCATAGATTCCAAGACGACCGTTTGCGCCGTATTAGTTTGCGCGTGCTAGACTTAAGCCAGGAGGAGTAGAACTTGTTGGTTCTTCTTGGGATCAGAGGAGTGTTGTCTTCTATCGTCTGTAGGATTATATTCTTCAACACACCCCATCCAGCATCAAGATCCAGTAGGTTGTCGCAATCTAAGCAAGCGGAACCTTCTAGATCTTGCCGAACCTTCTCGAAATCAGTTCTCTTGTAATTCCTAACTAGAGGCTGATCGGAAAAGAGTGGCTTAGACATGGAAATATTGAAGGAGATAACTACATGGTCACTCAGGCCAAGAGGACTGAAAATATTCAAGTTGCTCACCCCAATGAACTGATTTGTGAAAATAGAATCTAGTCGGGATGCCTTACCGTCAGGCCCCCAGCGAGTACACTGGGAAACATGTTCTGTCAAGGAGTTCCCCAGTAACAATTCCAGAAAGTCTTTTAGAGCAGTAGACGGACTTTCTGTGGTAAAGAGTTGGGGAAAGTTAAAATGAGGACCTGTGGGAAGTTTAGTTCCAGGGCTCCTCTAATAGACTGTATTAACATTTTATTTAGCGTGGCATCAGCTGCGGGAGGGCGGCATAAAACTCCAACTAAACACGGACCTCCACAGCACTCGGTGCTACACCAGAGGATATCTTTAATGCCAATTCTATGAGATTGAATCTCATGGACCTTTAAGGAAGGGCAGGTGTAAAGGGCAACGCCACCTTCTGGACCCTCCGGTCTATCCTTTGTATGACGCTGAGCTGTCCTAAACGAACTTCCTCGTCTTTTATGTCTTCTGATAGCGGTGTTTCACGGATAGCCATTATGCTAGGACTTCCCCCATTTACTAATAACCTTAACTCGGATACCTTGGAGCGTAGGCCTCGTACATTGCTGAAGGTACAGCGAATGAAAGTATGAGGGCCGGAGGTCCAAGCAACCGGTTGAGCTAAGCATGAGTTGCCAGTCTTTAAGTGGCCGGCTTTGACAAGTTTTCTGACGGGACGATGGGACCAAGGGCTACTGTATCCGCTGATCTCTTTGACTGAGAACTGGTGCCGGGCTCTTCTGTCTGGAGCAAGGTCGATAAAAATTCTTGCTCATCGTCCAGCCGTTCTATCGTTGGGTGTGCGCTGGCCGACGGCAAAGGCTTGAATCGCCTCTCAGTCTGCCTTTGTTTCTTGGGTCTGCACTCCCTTATCTTTATTTCTGTAAGGAATGTATCAGATACATTATAGCAGGATTCCAAGGTAGTTCTAACCATGTCCGGAGAGTCAAGAGTCACTTGGAGTAGCCTGGGAGTACGTATAGTAGAGAGGTGAGCCGGCCTTGGAAGACGATTAACTCTTTAAGCCTTCACATCGATTTGGAGTTTGCTGATAATATATCTCCACTGATTTATGTGGTGAATAAGTTCGGCAGTATCGGTACCCGAACATTCGGGAATTCCGTGTATAATTACCGAGCAGCATAACTCTTGACAGTGAATCTTCTTGCTGTTGCAAAGAGGCTCTCGCAGTGACCAGGGTCTATCAGGCCTGACAGACAGTTTACTTTTCGCCAACTGATGACCTTTCAGAAGGATGTGTTCGGACTGACGTGTGCCATCGAAAGATACTCTTAAAGGTCTAGGAGAGCCTTTGGGTGAGAACTTACTACGCGCTAGGAGTTGAAGAGATGGACTGGAGGGAGGGGTTCCTAGGAGTTTGCAAACACTTCCATTGATCAGGGTCATGTTCTTCACTATCACTCAATAGGGAGCAGCCACTTTCCTGAGCCTTGAAGAGTATGGGTGATCCAAGATTGAGGTTATGGTCTGTCCTTTGGAGCTTATTCCAACCTGTGAATACAGGCTCAGATTTCTGATGAGCCTTTGCGAGTGACTTGGAAGACCTGAGGTGCCAGCTGTGGGAGTTTTCTTGATGATTGAAAGAGGCTGGTGGTGAAATGCGGGTGGCTTACGCCCTGAGTTACAGGTGGTGGGAGCAAGATCTGCTTTTTTCGGAGCGCTTTTCGCCTGAGTAGGAGGGGCAATGTTCAGCTTATGGTCCGGCTTCTCATTAGGCTGAGTACTCGTTACCCTGTCAGGCTTATGGTCGTTACTTAATGTTCGTTTTTAACTGAAATGACCTGCCAACATTTCTTCAGACCTTTCTTTCGGCGCTTATCAAGTGTGAGATTCCCATTCATCACTGAGGGGATCGGTTCCAAAGGCATGCTAACGGGGAGACAGTCCGTGACAGTGATGAATTCGCTACTTCCGTTGCTGCTAACCTGAGGGATCTTTTTATGGCCATGAGACTTCTCTAGATTGAGGCTGGTTTGTGTAGAGATCTCAGACCTGAGGTGGTTGGGGTTCTGTCCCACTAGCTCTAGGCCTATTCGGTACCCACTTTTGGACCTACAACATGGACAAAAATACCAAGCACCGCCAGAAGGGCCATTAGGCAGTGCTTCATAATAACCAAATGGCTGGCTGGAATCACAGGAGCAGCGAGTCCATCGAGAGCAAAGCTCACAACCCATCGCCTTAGCTGAGAAGCCGACATTTCTGCGACAAACTACTCAGACATCCTTTGAAACCATCATTAGATTGTATAAAGGGTAGAAAAATGTTTGTTCAAGGAGTAATGAACCGCAACACAGTAAACATAACAAACTACCCGAAATTTGTCAAACCCCACTGTCCCTTTTGAAAAGCGCGCTCGACATTCTCAGGTAATGGTTCGGATGCAGTCCCCAAATTCCGTG